CTTTTTTTAGTCTGACCTTGTTTACCAAAAGGCAGCTGTTACATTCAGCTGTTACTGGGCTTTCTTCATTAGAATAGTTTCTTGCTCTTTCTCAAATCCACTGGCAGACTAAAGACATTTGACATCTTACTGTGTGCTCGTATGTAAACTTACAGGGTGACTTCTGTTTGCGTGGGGAGAAATGCAACTTTAGTTTCTCTTTCTGTGAAGGGAAAAAGCTGTTCCTTGTTCCTCAGATGCAGTAATTCTATGCGTGCTTAAAAATTATTGCCTTCTCTCATGATTTGCTGCATGGTGTAGAAGCTGTAGCTGTTTATCTAGTAGCAGATTAACGTGCATTAGGAAGTTCTAGGTGTTGGTTTGTGTTTTGCTAGGTTACACAAGGCTCAAGTCACAAGGATACTGAGCATTTCAATTCCCTGCTTTGACTCTGCAAAATAAACATTCTCATCATAGCAGAAATAAAATGGTATACTTAAAAAACAAAAAAACCCCCACCCCCTCCCAACAGTCCAGTGTTAGTTTTAGTGGTTATAGATACGTCTTCTGCATCTAATTCAGCTACTATAAATGCAAAACCTTTTCCTAATACATTTCAGTTGTGCCTTCTGTTCACCAGTCCAGTTTGGCCCAGAGTGAGTGATGAGAAGGTTCTGTGTTTGGTAAAGGTTCATCCTTGCTTATGTTGTTGTTCTCTAAGTAATTTTGTGGTTTTAGGGAAATGATTTTAGGTCATCAGCAGTTGTTTATCTGATCACAGGAATAATCTTTATCCACTAATTACATATTTATACTGAGAAATAAGTCAGAAAACACTTCAGAATGGAAGTACGCTAGAAAAGAGAATTTTTGCAGCAGGAAGTAATCATACATGTGTGCAACAGTCAACCCCCACTGTCTTAGCACGTTCAGATTAGTAGACACAATTACCTATAGGTCTGTATAGGAGATGTTGGCATCTAAGTCATGTTGCTGACATAGAATGGGACCTCTGGAGATCATCTAGTTCAGACCCCTGCTGAAAGCAGGATTACCTAGAGCAGGTTGCTCAGGGCTGTATCCGCTCAGAGTTTGCATATCAACAAGGATGGAGACTCTGCAACCATTGTGGACAATCCTTGATCCTTGCTGCTTTTTGGTACAAATTGAAGAGCCATAAAACGTGATTCTGTTTGCATCTTAATTAATTGCTGGAGGTTTGCAAGAGATACAGTTACTGCTCGCCCAGCAGCATGCTTCATAATCTGGAAAAATTCCATCTGTGGTTAATAAACATTTGCCAGGATAGACCCTACATTGTTTCTTTTAATAATTTACAATAATTATAATATATTTATTTACTTTTAACAGATTTTTTTTTTTCCCTTTCTCTTTTTTTTCAACTAATGTTTACTTGATCTCCATAGAATCCTAGAATGGTTTGGGTTGGAAGGGACCTTAAAGATCATCTAGTTCCAACCCCCTGCCATGGGCAGGGACACCTTCCACTAGACCAGGTTGCTCAAAGCCCCATCCAACCTGACCTTTTACACTTCCAGGAGCATCCACATGGGGCATCCACAGCTGCTCTGGGCAACCTGTTCCAGTGCCTCACCACCCTCATAGTGAAGAAATTCCTCCTTATATCTAATCTGAATTTACCCTCTTTCAGTTTAAGGCCATTACCCCTTGTCCTATCACTACATACCCTTGTAAAAAGTCCCTCTCCAAGTTTCTTATAGGCCCCTTTCAGATAGTGGAAGGCTGCTGTAAGGTCTTACCCGAGCCTTCTCTTCTCCAGGCTGAACAAACCCAATTCTCTCAGCCTGTCTTCATAGGAGAGGTGCTCCAGCCCTCTGATCATCTTCGTGACCCTCCTCCAGACTTGCTCCAACAGGTCCATGTCCTTCTTATGTTGAGGGCTCCAGAGCTGGACGCAGTACTCCAAGTGGGGTCTTATGAGAGCAGAGTAGATCACCTCCCTCAACCTGCTGGCCATGTTTTTTTTGATGCAGCCCAGGATATGGTTGGCTTTCTGAGCCACAAGTGCACATTGCCAACTCATGTTGAGCTTCTCATCAGCTAACGCCCCCAGGTCCTTCTCCTCAGGGCTACTCTCAATCCATTCTCCATGCCTCCTGTATTTGTGCTTGGGATTGTCCTGATCTTCATGTACTCAGGACCCAGGTCTGTTTGCTAAGGGAGCCAGAGTCAGAGAACACACAGGAGCACGTGGATTCTTCATTTCTAGATACTTGCGTAAAAGGCCTGGAACAGTACAGGTAGATGAAAAGAGCACAAATCTTGATCAAGCCAAGAACAGTTCCAGGGAAATACATGCTTTATTTTTTTTCCGCATTCGTCATGGCGTCTTGTCTTTACTAATAAAAAGAGGTTAATGTTTAACATATATAAGGGTCACAGGGAAGTGAGGTGGCGGTTTGCTACTTCTGCTAGAGCAATGACTGCATCAATTGCATAATCAGAAGTAATAAAATTATATTAACAGGCTGTAAATTTTTTTAGGTTAATAAGCAGGAACAGAGGAGTCAGTGTTTTTCATTGTGTAGCACAGAAGCCAGATGTTACTTATAAATGACAGAATTCAAGCCATAGCATGTGTGAAAATAAATAAATAAATAAATATTCCCCTTTGTTTTCATCAACAGGCCTGCTAGGTCTCCTCAAACATGAAGTGTACTAACTACTGTGGAGTCTTTCCCAGGGATGTAGCATCTTTAACTACTGTCTGTATGTAAAGTCCAGCCACTGCTGAATAGCAATTTTGTCCATGTCCAAGGCATTTGATAACAAAAACCATTGAAGAAATCAAATTCAATAACTACACATCTGTGATGGATCCCAAGTGCCTTGTCTGGGCTTTAGCTCAGCGATGACCCTTGCAGTGCCTGCACTGTTGGAAACCCTCCTTATAGTCGTCAGCATGGGTGGTGCTGGGGGACCTTAACCCTGACTGAGATGGTGGCACAGTTGGCCTGGGTGAGGGCTGACAATCCTGGTTTTGACGACAGGAGCATTTTCCAGGAAATAACCTCATTCCTTCACTGTCACTTCTGCCGCCTCAGCAAAAGCAGAGACGGGATCGCAGGTCTCTCTGTGTATTCTGGGCAACTCAGAAGTAAAATTGCTTGTGGCTGCTGAGTCCAGACACTCCTACAAGAGGAAAACGTGTTTATTAGAAAATACTAAAGCAGTTGCAGCTTGAAATATGGGTAGAATAAATTTTTATGTTTCACTGTCATCCTGATGTGGTATGCGATTAAAAATTGGTTCTTTGAAGGATTATTAGGTAAATAAAACTGAGGTGAACCTTGAGCTCTTTGTGGAGCAAATGCATATAGTCTGAGGTAATACAGATTTGTTACAGCATTACGTTCTTTTTGTATATGATTAAAAAGTTAGGCACGATGCTGCCCAAGCCCAAGGCTTTCTGACTGATTCGTGACATAGCTGAGAACAGACTTCTGAAGTCATGACCGTGCTTTTCCTACCTCTCCCCCATTTTCTTTGCTGGGTCATTAGCTGATGACTCATGCCTTGTGCTTCAAGGGTGAAGTAATGCTTCCTGAGTCAGCTTATTTATTTTGTACTTACTGTCTTAAATCCGCTACCTATGTCTGTGTGTCTATCTATCTATTTGAATTTCCCTGTCTGTAGAAAGAATCTTACTGAGGTCTTTATGAGCACACATAATATAACTATTCAGTTTTCACTGTTCAACCTTTTTTTCCCAAGTCCTTTGTTGTTTCCTGCGTTTGTTTATGTGTATTATTGCATTATGCTTAAGCAGTAGATAACCATAGAAATGTCTGAAAAAGACAGAGTTCATGTCTCCAAAGCATTCTTTACATTTAGGGATGCCTTTTCTCATAGGGGAGATGGCTCTTCTGGGCTGCTGCTTTATTCTGCTGCTCCAAGACTTCCTTCTGTACTCTCCACAACCAAATACCTGTAAGCAAGCAAGCTCCAATTGACGCTTGACAGGAAATTTGTTTTGTCAGGAAACTGGCACACTTAGCATGGATTTTTCTCAAAGTAATTTGGGGAAATTAAAAAGTTGGCAGAATTATCCGTTGTAATCATAGATGGTGGCCCCGCATTTGTCATTATGGCATCAGCACATGCTGCAGAAGAACCTTAATCTCCAAGGGCAGCCAAAGCAGTGGGATGTAACCAAGCATCAGCCTCGCAGGAGCTTAGCAGATAGCATATGCATGTTCCTACCTTATAACCATATCTGAAACTGTGACCATTTACTGTTACTTAAAATATGCTGGATGGCAGTTCGGGTTTTGTTTATGATTACATCTGTGGGCTGTAGCAGACTGCTTTCTCATACGTGATGAGAATGCCCTGCAAGTGATACTATATGTCGAAGTAATATTATTTGGGGTGGTAGAATAAAAATTAACATCTAAAATAATGAATATGTTTCTTTAAAAAACACAGCTATTTCCGATTACATTGTTATGGTAGTTTGGTGTTTGGGTTTTTTTTTTTTGTAACGTGCTATTATGAAGGCGAAGGCAAATTTGCAACGGACTCATTAATCTACATGACATGAATGCTTGAGTAAGAGAAGGGAGTGAAAAACAACAGAGGTTAAATAACTTTCCTAATTAATTAGTTTGTGGCTTCTCTTATGCTTTCTGAAGTATTTTCATCTTTCATTTTGAGTTTGAATTTGTCATGTTATACTTCTTGCTTTGGGTGCAAAAGTTTTACTGAAAATACAGCATTACAGGAAATGAAGCTCTTTTATCAAAGTGTTGATGATGGTGAGCTCCTGGCAGGTAGACAAATGAGCAAATCATCTAGTCAGTGTTTAACTTTATAATGTGTCTGTTGGACATAGAAGATCACTTCAACTGGTCTTTCAGAAAACAAAACCAAATTAGCCATTCCAGAAAAATAACAGCAGGGAGCACCTTAGTGTTGCAACTTGTTTGTCATAAAGCACTAGATGCTAATGTGTTTTTTTTTTTCCCCCCTTCCTGTAGGTGCCTGAGATTATAAGCTCTATTCGACAAGCTGGAAAAATTGCTCGTCAAGAAGAATTTCAGAATAATCTCTCAGATGTTGAAGACCCTTTTGCCAAAAAGTTTGAGGTGCTGTTCTGTGGACGGGTGACAGTAGCACATAAAAATGCACCTCCAGCACTCATAGATGAATGCATTGAGAAATTTAATCGTGCAAGTTGTACAAAAAAATCAGATTCCAACTCATCGTCCCAACAACATGAAACTGCCAATAACTTCGGAGGCTTCTCTTTCAGCAACAAATTTCGATCTGTCTTCCAGCCCTTAGTCAGTGAAGAGGAGGAGAAAAGGCCAATTAGGAAATCCTTTTCTCAGCCTGGGCTTCGTTCCTTTGCTTTTAAGAAGGATTTGCAAGAGGGAAGCCATAGGAGTAACAGCTTTGTCAAGTCTTTTGAAGAAGATGCAATTTCACTGAACCTAAAAAGTCAACTTATCTATGGACACAGTGTTGTGCAGCCAACAGACATTGCAGAAAACCGGACGATGTTGTTTACGGTAAAGCCAGATTTGCAGCTCTTGGTGGCATTTTTGCATCTTGGAGTTTGGAGTGGCAAACACCAAAGCAGATGTTCTGACAGATGGCAGTTACTTCTTTAATAACTTAATTGCAATTACCAGAACTTAACTTAAACAAGCCTGTTTCTCTAGAAAGCATTCCAGTCTGTGTAAATTGTTTTACATAGTCAAAATAAGTTTATGTTAAAGAGTTTAAAACAGCACTAGCTGAAACACTAGGCTTCTAAAGATGGCTTTTAGAAAGTTACAGCCAATTAGTACGTAGTTATACAATTGCAAAATGGTACGTACAATTACACTAACCTAGTAACAGCAGAAATAAATTTCCAGGTGAATGAGGTATCTGTAACTAGAGCAGAAGGACCAAACCATGACTGGGGGCTAGTAGACTTTATATGTCATGATAAGCAGTGTAATTCATGAAGGTGTTCCTGCTGCCAACATGTCTGTGTAATGATGGAGTAGTGTAGTAACTTCCTAGGCTACTCCACACCTGCCTCCACTCCTGTCCTACTTTTGTGTGGCTACCAATGCCTTTGCCTCTATAGGTGAGCAGCAGAAGTATTTTTCAAGATCTGAGAAACAAGTAAGGAATGTGTTATATTCCTCATTATAGATAAATTCTATAACATATTTTCTATATCTGTATCTTATGTACATAATACAAAACTGGAGCTGATGTTGTGATGGTTGGCTGTCATAAGTTCACCTTGGATCTGTCAGCTGCTGTTGGGGCTGGGACAGTAATAAAGTGGAGTGGTTGCAGTTACAGCAGTTTTTTTGGAGGGGGGAAAAGAGAAGTGCTGCTTTAAGAAGGATCGCCAGTGTTACGTCTCTAACAAGTAACACACAAGAAAGAGGTGTAGTTAGCTATACTTGATTTAAAACTTCTGTTTAGTCCTGGCAGGCTGGCATCAGAGAAGGAAGTGGAAGAAGGTGGAGAGAAATTTTGTGCTCCAGTAAAAACAATTCCTTATTTACTTTCTTCCCCTGAGCATGCATTTCACACAGGAAATACAGACAACCTTTATAATAATGCCTAATTTTAAAACAAATCCTGACTCCATTATTAATTCATGGCACATAGAGAGATTATAGATGGACTGCTTAGGTCCAGATCCTCTTCCTCCAGTGAGTGCATTTTTAATTTATATTAAATAAATGCAACAGTTCTCAAAGACACATGCAGCTTCAGCCTGAATATAATGTCAGTCACTTGCTGACAGGCTCATTTCCAAGCCGCGGGGCTCTGCCGGTCCAGCTTTCTATCTTGCGTTGCTTTTTGCCTGGGAAAATACTGTTTAGTATGCACAGTTGTATTCTTTTGCCATTCAGCCAGTCTAAATTCAGCTGAATATAAGGAAGTGAAGTAACTGTGGTTTGTGCCTCCAGTATCCACAAGCTTGCGGCTCCGGGGCGGGGTGGGGGTTTTTTTTTTTCCTTTAGCAGGTTCTGAGTAAGAGTACGCGTACAGCCTGCGCGGATTTTCACCTTTGCTTATTGGTTTGTGTGTGGCTACATATGAAACACTTAAAAGTAACTTTATATCTGGAGGAAAAAAATGGCTTCTGTTTTTTCAGTTGAAGCTTTTACTTGGATTTTCCCTAAGACTGCAGCAGAGGTTGGTGTATGAGGTGTGAACAATGTTCAGACGAGTTATCTGCTGACTCTCCTGACATGGTTCAGACAGTCCTCATTTTGGTGTCTCTTCCTGAAGAACTGCTTTCCTAGCCAATTTCGTAGGATCTTAGGGTTTTCTTTGTTTTTATAGGCTTTTCTCCTGGCTGTATTTTGGTCAGGTGAGGGTTGTATTGGGTTTTTTTTTTTTCCCCTTGTTCAGTTGGCTTCAAATGATCTCTGCTGCCCTGGGACTAAGTGTGAAAGGAGTATGTGGGGCTGAGCTAACGAGGGGTGTCTTGCTGCGGGGAGGGGAAGGCAGCAGTGAGGAGGAGGAGGCTGCTGAGTAGGTGTTGGAAGGAATAACCTCATGAACACATGTGAGGTCAGCCTGGGGGACAATACAAGGAAACCAGTGGGGAGTTGGGGAAAATTATTGCGACTGGTTGAAGTCAAAGAAGAGGTAGACCATTATTAGACACACAGAGGTAGCACATCTCGCTGATCCATTTACACACAGGGTTCCCCCCTTCTCCCTTCCTTAAGAAATTACAGGTATATTGGTGCTGTTTATCTTTTTATGCACATCTTGTGGGATTTGGTAGTGGTTGAAGCTTCAGCAAGTTTGTCTAAGTCATGCTCATGAATGGATCCAGATTCCACCCATTTTCCCTAAAGTCTGTTACAAGACTTGTCCTTAGCAGACTTTCTGATGTGCTAGAAACTATGAGGACTTTAAATTTTATCTGTTAAAATGTTACAAAGATGTTGCCAGAAGCTGAAAACTTGAAAAAAAATAGTTTTACGCTTTACCCATCAAACGTTAGCATCAGCTTTTGGAACACTGCTGTACAAATAGCCTACAGATTAAATTAAGTTAGAAAATATAGTCCAGTAAGCTCATTTTTATAATTTGAATTAAAACCTTTAAATTAAATGCTATGTGTATCTTAAAAAAATAAATAGAACCCTAAAAAATAATTAGGAATACAGGTGGAGGCACACACTTAGGTTTAAATTTTAGGACAATTTCATTAAGTAGCTTTTGGGAATATGGTATGTGCCAAACCTGCAGAAAATAAGAAAAGGGAGTGTGAGTATATTTTCTAAGTGCAGAGTAAGTTACTTGTGGTATAATATTACTCTCGTCGAATTAAACACTGTTCTCAGTCTCTTGTCTCAAATGTGAAACTAAATCTCAGTTCAGTAATGTGCTGAGCTCTGAATGCCAATTCAATATTGTTTCAATATTCTCTCTTTCTCTGGTAATAATACACTAATTGGTCTAAACATACAGGTAGAAGAAAAATAGAGATACATGTCCGGGAAGCATTTTTATAGCGAGACAAAAGGAAGTGTGGTGTTACTTGTTATCATCTTGCTATTTATTTTGCTTTTTTTAGATTGGCCAGTCTGAAGTTTACCTTATCAGTCCTGACACAAAAAAAGTAGCAATTGAAAAAAGCTTTAAAGAAATATCCTTTTGTTCTCAGGTAAGATTGCACTGTATTCTTTCTCTCTTTCTTTTGTTTAAATATTGTCCATTTGGGAATGCGCATGTACTACTCCCTCCGAGCATTTCAAAGGATTCTCACGCCAGCAATTTCAATAATTGCTATTGACAAGTTGCTAGTTAATCAGTAATTTTGTAAAACTGTCATTCTTTTCTCATGCTTTGCATTGTAATTTCTGAGAGAGAGACTCATTTCTGTGTGTGGTGGATGAATAATACAAGCTAGAAGGAACACTCTGGTCAGCCTTGGTTTGAGATTTCAGCAGGCGTGATTCACAGTTGTGCAAGTCTGTGATTCTCTGAGCTATATTTTTCAACAAGAGATAATGAAAGGAGATAAATGATATGTAAGAGTTCTCTGAAAAATACTTAAAATTTTTTTTTCCAAGAGTATAAATTGCATGTGTGTCAAAGAAGAGAGCCCACTGCTATGCAGAGGTAGTGTGTGTGATGCCCTGACGGCAAGCGTATTTCAAAGTCCTCATTCACTATTAATCCCTGTTCCTTATCTCACAGCGTTTGCTTCCCTCTCCTCTACTCGTTTTTGTGGCTCTGACTTTGATTTTGCATGGATTATGCGAGGGTGCAATTTATGTAATGACTTACTTCGAGTGGTGATGTGTTGAAAGAGATGCAGCTTGCACATCTGAAGGTGCGGTAGTGGCGTCGCGTAGGTTACACGGACGTGTGATTCGCACTCAGCTCCTGCGGCGGCTGTGAGGGCGGAATGGTCACTGTCATATCAAGGACACGGGACAGCTCGGCTGATTGCAGCGCTCATGTACGGGCAGCTGTGCTAACTGCTGGCAGGTCCGCTGTGCAGGAGCGGGGGACTCTCCTCTGCGGCTTGCTCAAATATCAACCTGCAGACTGAAATGGCTGTTCATAAAGACGTTTCATAGGCCAGTTGCTTTTGATAACTAACCAGTGTCACGATGCAGGGATTTGTCTTTCACTGGCCATTTTCTGTCCTGCAGGGCATTATTTGTGTTTAGTTTGTCTGTGTACCAGATTTGATTCAGTTTAACTGAATGGGGAAATTGAATTTAATAAATTAAATTGGGATAGAGTCCTTAGAGGACACTTAATTCCTTTAAGACCTGCACATAATTTTAGTTTAAACCTTTAAGTAATTAACCTGAACTATAATTATATAAATAAACTTACATTTATTGAGGAATGGATGTTTCCGCTGGCTTAACTAAATATTCACCTTGAATTAAACCAGTGCAACGCTTGTTTGTATGGTGGGGCTTGGGTGGCAATAAGACCTAGTATACCAGGATGTGAATTCTGCCACTCTTTCTTGCACTAGGAACTATTTTGCACTTGGCTTACTCGCATAGTGCAGGTCTACTCACTTTTTTCCCCCAGTAGGCTTATTTACTCACTTTTAAATATAAAAAACGAGTTGCTGTTACTTGCTTCTAGTCGTTTTAGATTTTTTTTCCCATACATTACTTTTTTTTTTAATTTGATGAGGGTAGCTTTCATCACTAAAACATCCAGGTACCTATTCTGAAAATTTCAGAGTAAACATAAGTCATTTGCATGCTGTCAGATCAAAAGCTTTGAAGAGAACTCCTTGATCACAGAAAAATCTTTATCCCCATGTTCCCTTAGGCCATCTCCTTAGGCAAGAGCTAGTTAGGTAGACTTTGTGACTTGCCCTGAAGGTCAGTAGATGGTTGTGCTCCTCAGAGCAGTAGGAGTGAGATTCTGATTGAATTCTCCCCTCCTGTCTGAAGAGTGAGCTACTAGGCAAATGTTATGTCAGTTGGGCAAATATTGGTATTGGGGTACAGAGGGCTTTTCCCCCAAGTATGCACATTTCGGAAGACTTGATGGAACCATCTTATGGACTCATCTTGATCATATAAGAACTTTAATAATCTTTTCTTGGCACTGGAGTTAAGTTATAAGGGAGATGAGAATCAGTACTTAATTTCCAGAATGCCCCATCTGTCAGTGCAGTTTTATAATGGCAGAAAGAAGTATGGGAGTGGTATCTGAATTAGCTGATCTGAACCAGCTAAGAGTGTTTGCCAGCTCCTGGTACCTCACAGTTTTGTGGGCAGGGCCATGATCACAGCTGGGTTACCTTCACCGAAGCAGCTGGGTTTTCAGGAGAAGAATGGGCTTTCAGAAGCAGCAGCATGGGCTGGGAGGTTAGAGAGGGGGCTCAGTGCATTCTGTACACATCTCTGATGTGGATGATGGAGGGAGAGAGCGCGTAGGTTGCATCAGCCTGTTAGCCTGTTCTTGCTTTATCACATAGCTGCCTCCTAAAACGCTTAGCCTGCATATCCAATGGAGCTGGAGTTGAAGAAGCTGCAGGCTTTACATCATTTGAATGTCCTTCTGATCTTTTTGTTCTAATGGCATGTTAATGCCTGGTGTTTGTGTAATAACGCCTTTGTTATCTATATGTAGTAGTCGCACTCCAAAAAACAGGTATCTCCATATACATTAAATTATTTTCCTTCATTCAGCTGTCATGCTCTGAAGGTTTATTGTTAGTGTTTCGATCGATAAGACAACATTGTTTGGATTGCTTAAGGATATTGGATGCTATAGCATGTTCTTTTACACCTGGCCATTCTGTTTTATAGAAGTATTCACTTTTTATGCTTTTTAAATACTTTTTTTAAGGTTTTCTTCATGATAAAAAGTCAAAGAGAATGTTTGGTGATTCTTGCTGTCTTAACAAGGAAAAGCAAAAAAAAAAGCCCAAGAAAAGAGTCCTGCTTGGCATCTTCAGATTGTTTAAATTTCACTGAAATTTCTGAATTACCTTGATTCATCATTATGGTTTTGGATACAACAGTTTATTGCCTCTCTTTACCTCACTTTAATATTGTTGTGCCATGATAGCTAGAAGGTAGTGAAATGCTGCTGAGGGTAACTGAACTGCTATAAACAGGCTCTACCATTGTGCATGTTATTCATTATCAGAAGTTGTTTGGTTTTTTTACCACGAATGGTGCACTGAGGAGACGTGCACTGGGATCACCTAACTCTACTCATCTGAAAGTCTTTTCATAAAGAAAAAAAATTCCCAGCAATTAAAAAACCTTCTCAGCATTTTACTGGGATGTACTGTTTATCTACTGTTGCAAGTAGATTGTGCCTGAATTTGCATGCCTTTTAGGAGAAATAAATGCTTCCATGAGTGATCTTTAAGTAATATATTTAACCATTTTCATTTCTTAACTAGTTAAGCTTTTCTTTAGATAGAAAAAAAAATTGTATATCTATTTTTCACTATTGCTTTGATTCTTCTCTTACAAATCTAAAGCAATTGTTGACTGCTTAAGCAAAAGAGAAGAAAAACAGAGCAAGCTTTTTCCCCCCTACTATTTCCAATATTCAGTAAAATACATTTTGAATAGTACTTATTCATTCCTGTAAGTGTTTTCCACTTGATCTGTTACAATTCAGTCATTAAAAAAAACAACCAAAACCAACAAACAACCTCTGATTTAAGTGAAGTTGAAAAGATTAATGTAGTAATACGTTCTGTAACAGAACAGATTTTTAATGGCCAGATGACTTTAATGTAGCTCTAACAGAGATATGTGACCTATCTAATGCTGTTGGGCCTTTCATGCTTTTGTTACTGGAAAAAATACAGGTACAAAACATTGAAAGTAAATATGACTGCTTCATTACTGTTATTTTTGTGCTAGGGAATTAGACATGTGGATCACTTTGGGTTCATCTGCAGAGAGTCTTCAGAAAATGGAGGCTTCCACTTCGTTTGCTATGTGTTTCAGTGTACAGATGAAGCACTGGTAAGTAAAAGAAGAGACGACCCTAATAGAATATTAGGCCCTAAAATTCTTTTATTACTTCCTGCTCTGTATTTTGCTGAATGTCTTCAAATCTTCCTCCACTCAGAAATATAATTATTTCAAAAATGTAATTAACATAGCAGTCTGCAAAGGAACTTTTATTTTGAAGGCAGAAGTTGAAATCACAGTTAAAATCCAGTAAAACTTCATTTCATTGCACAGACTAAGTCAGCAGTGGAAACCCTCTTTTTTGGAAGAGGGTTTTTTCATAGTTTATCTATTAAGAAAATCGGACTGCACTACTGTGCTCTAGGTCAGGCCAGTGTGTGCAATAAGCTGCTTTATCACAGACAAGAAAAGGTTTCTAGATAGAGGTAGTATCTTTATTACTGTAGTATCTTTATTACTGTGGTAGACCACAGTAATAAAATTGGGTGGTCTGGAAGAGATGCGACTTCACGATGAGTTTTGGCTTGCTTGTGTGTTTTTGTCCAGAAATGGCACAGGCACAGCTTTTCTTTTTAATCATAAGCATATTCCCAAACAAGTGGCAGTGTCACTCTAAAAGTCTGTTGTGTTTGTGTTAAGAAAAACAGAAGCTTAGTGGAGGAGTGAAATTCTGTTCTTTTGCACTCTGTTCTTTTCAGGTTGATGAAATCATGATGACATTGAAACAGGCTTTCACCGTAGCTGCTGTGCAACAGACTTCCAAGGCACAGCCCCAGCTCTGTGAGGGATGTCCTATGCAAAGCTTGCATAAACTCTGTGAAAAGATAGAAGGTGAGGTTTAAAGAACTTTCTGGTCGAATATTTTTTCTACCAATTTTATTGCAGGACAATCTTAAATGTGAAACTCTTAAGGGAATGAATGCTTAAAAAGAACTTGGGACTTGGAATGGAGGGTTGAAAGCCAGTCTTTTTATTTAGAGGACTACAACGTAAAGTTATGTATAAGGTAGTAAGAATTTTCTAACACAACTGAAGCTCCTTCCTTGTATTTCAGTTGAATTTTTGGAAACTAATTAAGAGTCTAGATATTACTGAATTGCAGCTAGCTTGGCTTTATTAACCATATAAACGCAGATGACTGTAGATCAGGAACTTCTCAAAAATATATGCTGCAATAGCTATGACCTGCTGTGCTATTGAATCCACTTAGGTACTGGCATTACACTACACTACCACTAAACATGAACTGAGCAGTGAGCTTTTAATACATGTTTGTGGTGTTAATCTATGCTCCTTCATGAAAATGCAGCAGTTAGAATTGTAGCTGTTGCCCAGAAAACAAGTTCAAGACAAAAAAAAACCCTCTCTGCATTTCAGCAAATTTCACAGTTAAGTTTTGTTCTTTTAAGCAATGCCTGGGGTGAATAAAGGGCAACAGCAGCTTGTCAGATCACGTGACAGTAGCTTGTTGGACTAAAACCTATCTAGTATTAATTTGATGAAACTGGAGAACTTCCAAAACTACTTTTCACTATTTTGGTCTTCAGCTAGAATTTCAGATTTTTGAGAAATTTCTTAAAGGCAAATGATTCCTAATGCCTTTAATGATGCCATCTGGTTAATCATATCTTCTGCTTCTGAAGGAGAAATGCCATCATCAGAAACTGAATTACAGTACTGTTGATGGTTTGCTGGTTTTCCACAGAAAATAGAGGAAAGGAATTTAATCTGGGATGAGAGCAGAAAAAAAATAATCTGAATGAAAGGGTAGTCTGCTTTAGACTGTCAGTAAATGTTTTCAGCAAGAGGCAAAGCAAAAACTTCACCAACATGCAATAAATTTACTCTTTTTCAGAAGAAGCCAAGGCATATCAATTGGAGAAAATCAATGGACATTAATTTATACCACAAGCAAAATCCAAGCAGTACTGCATAAAACACCAACAAAGCATTCTGCTAAAATGCAGTAGTTCATGGGTTTATTTTATCTTGTGTGATAATGGAATCTTCAGCTAAGAGTATAATCCTGGTCTGTGCTCAGTAAATCTCCTCGTTGCAGAGTTCATGTCCCTCATTTTAAAGCCATGAGTTCAGGAGTAGCTTTAAATTAACCTAGAGTTCTTTCTAATGCCCTGTTATGAAATCAATGCAATGGGTCAGCTCAAATAACTGATGAGCTTTGGCTTAAATTGTGTGCCTATTTATGTGATTGATTAATTCTGACAAATTTGACCCTGACATTTTTGTTCTCCTTGGTAGGGTTACACCCTTCTAAGACTAAACTAGAACTACAAAAGCATCTAACAACACTAAATAACCAGGAGCAGGCCTCTGTTTTTGAAGAGGTTAAGGTAAGCTCTTTGTTTCCCACAAGATTTTAAAGCAACTGACGTTTTTTGCTAACATCAGTGTGAAGCACCAAAATTACTTTATTTTTTTTGTGAATTATTCATTATCTTTATTTAATAGACTGTTAAATCACCTTGTGCTTTAATTACAATATCATTATTTTTCTAGAGCTGTTAAAAACTTGTCTTTTGATGAAAATGGCTTATTTTACTCATTCTTCTTCTCAGAATACTACTTGTTTTCCATCAAAATGTTGACTTCTCACTGAGTAAAACTGCACACATTTTTTTGTGGGTACAGGCAGTAGCTTGTACTCTGAGAACATTCAATTGTTACTTTGACCAAAACAAATTACTCTAACAGTCTCAGATCAGAAAATTTCCTGCCTAAAATTTATCCTAGATCTTGTAAAACTAACTAAAAAAGTTTAACTTTCTATCCTCTGAATGAAATCCATTTTAGCATAGAGGAAAGCATAGCTGGATTTAAGACAGATGATGAACATTGTAGGAAATGCCATTGGGCTTGGCACACTATTGAAGGTTAGGAAATTTCAGACTTTTTTTAAAAATAATGTTTCCTTCCTCTCTTGAGTCATTTCAGTCTCTTTGTGTGTTTCCATGTGGCAGTTTATCATCCAGTACCAAATTTGGAAGTTACTCTGTGGGAGCAGTTCTATGAGCTAAGTAATTTCTTAGTATACAGCAGCTATCTGGCACTGTTGCCTTTTATTATTCTGCACACATTTTAACAGTCTAAAGCTTCTAGTAGTCACAGGAAAATGTTAATTTCTTTTGGTGAGAGTCTGCAAATTATTACCTTGGTAAAACCAAGAGTAAAATATGTCTTTCCTGCCTATCTTTTTCAGATTATTTTTTGAGTTGGGACTGCCTGAAACTTTAGTTGTAGCATTCTTACAGCTCCATATGTTGTAACCATGATTTGCATTTTTAGATAACTGTCTGTCTAAGGATATTTTTATTACTCTGGTGTGCTACTCTGGCATTAGCCAATTCATGCTGTATCCTCTGCTTTACATCAATAGGCTTAAAACAGCATATGCTTTTCAGAAGTTAAGTGTCTGGGGTTAAATTCTATAATAAATTGTTTAAAAATATTTTCTCTTACAGTCAGATATAAATAGAACACAGCAGACACAAATGTGTTCACCTCGTGCGCTAATTTTTAAGATACCTATGTCATTTCCCAAAAATGAAATGTTAATGAGAAGGATTTCTAGAAGAAGGGCTGTGCATCATAACTGCAAGACAGTACTTCATGTGTGCTACAAACTCAGAGCTACAGTGTTTTGGTTTTCTTTATATCAAAGGCAAATTGGCAGATTTTTTTTTAAAGTCTTTATTTGCCTGTGGTAATTGGATACCTCTACAGTTGTCCTTTATCTTTCATGTAAATTCTGTCATGTATGAAGTGAGGACAAGTGTTTTTCTGGCTGTGTTGCTGCTTTGCCTGGGACACTGGTGTCCTCTGGTGGAGTGGAGTGGTAGCATTAACCGAGGTAAACTTCTCTCACTAACCTCATACTGACAGTGACAAAATGAAAAGAGTAAATATTTGCTGTTAAACAAATGTATAATCATTGTGCTTGTGGTCTTCTCAATTAAAGAAATTAAGACCAAGAAATGATCAAAAAGAGAATGAGTTGGTTATCTCTGTTTTGAGAAACATGTATGAAGAAAAACAGAAGGACCATGTTCATGTTGGAGAAACAAAACAGGTAAGTAATCATTCAGTTTTAGTTCCTGTAAGGAGGAGCCAAGAAAAAAATCATCCATTCCATTTTTATATCTTTCCAAAGGGAAATTTCCATCACTGGCATTTTGGAATTCCAAACTGTAGGTAGTGGTGAACACTGGTTTTTCTTATGATTTGTAGGCTATTGTCATGCGCTAAAACAGGCAAATCTCGGGTTTTGAGGTACTCGGTACAGACTGATTTCAGGCCTAGAAGACAGAGGTGCAAACAAGGTAGACCGCTAATTTGGTTGTTTGTTTCTTCTCACTACAATAAAAATTCAACATATGTGAGAGAATATGTAATGAATTTGTAATTGCTCTCAACCGATCTGTAGCATTTGCCATCCCGCTGTCTGTCAGTGTGAGTCAGTGTCCTGACAACACACTGGATTTCATCCTTGATAAAGACAATTTCATTTACTCGATAGCTGGAGATTATTTCTTGTGTGCAAACCACCATTTGAAGTGGCCTGAAGAAGGAGTAGCTGAGGAGGATTGCCGCAGAAATAGCAGTGCAGTCTGTTATCCATTTTCAAAGAGCTGAGCTACCTTTCATTCTGTATCACGTTGCATTAGTGCTGTTTAACTGGCTATTTATACAGCACAGTTAAGTTTTTTCAAAAGGGATTAATGATTTTGCATGCCTTGGTTTGTGACTGACTAACCTGAGACACCTCAGGGAGGTCTGTGTTTAAGAGAGGATCAGCACCCGTTCTCTGGAAACTTTTAGTTCCAATTATTATACCCTTTTAAACATCTTGGCTGTCCCACGGCTGCTGGCTGGTAACTCCATTGTGATGATTGCTGTTGGCTGTTTGTGATATAAAGTAGCAAATGAATATATGGAGAATAATTAGACCCCTGATGAAATTGGGGAAATAGCAGCAAGTCTTCATTTACTATTTGTTCACTGTGTTGATCTCTTCTGCTTTTATGGCTTACTGGCTAATTATTGACCTCCTTAAGAAAGCAGGAAAAAAACTTTGCATATTTCAGTCTCTGGTTTCTTGTCTTGGGCATCTCACCAGAAATAAGTTTTTAAGAAAAAAGCATTGTGGTTATGGCATGACTGGAAGAAACATTGCGTGAGGTCCTCTATCATCACACCTGAAATATTTTTATTAGGTCTAATGCCAGCTGACTGTCAAATTGTTGTCAGTCACGAACGACTTGGAAATAGGGATATATGAAGCAAGGTAATATCTTAATATGTCTTCAGTGTGATCTGAAAATTCCGAAGGCTTGCTGCAGTCTGTTTGCTCAGTTCCTGGAACCAAAATCGGTTAACCTGACACTTGCAAAGATGCCAGTCCTCTAAAAAGAGAGTTGACTTGCCCTCAGTCCATCATTTGTCTTTGCATAACATTTTATATTTACTTTGATAATTTATCTCCAGAGCTGTATAATAGCAGATACCTTTGAACGTGTACTCTGGCAGTGTTATTTGTCTCAGCAATCATTAATCCATGACATCCTGATGTCCCTGTTCCCTTCTTTTCTGCATAGGTATTCACTTTTGTGCTTTTCATCACATTTTTTATTTTAATAATTAATATTTAAATCATGGGAGGAAAAAAATGAAATGTGATACGAGTACATGGATCTTATTTCACAAAAATTACCTTGAAAATAAGTGTCTTTTTATAAGAACATAATAGCAGGCAGCATCTGATTTGCCTTTTGAGGATAATATGAATGAAGGTAAAAATTAAGTACAGAAGCCTGTAACTTTGTTGTACTAGAAATAAGAAGCTTTAGAATTATATCTAGACAGGACTATTTGGTCATGATGTGCTATTCAGCTGCCTGCATACTAATAGTTACATAGATCAAGTATTCAGATCTCTGAAATTAGGGCCAGGTATAGAGGGCTACGATGCCTGGCAGCCTCAAGATGAATCCCCAAAAATAACACTGAAAACTGCGCCCTGGTTTCTGCTGCAGGTGTTAGGTTTGGATGGTAATATTTGCATCATAGTGTCATTTTTGTATTTGCTACACTAGTCTTTGCAAGCACTAAAAATGGACTGAAGTACATACTTAAAAAGCCAAACTCTCAATAGACTGTGAGCTTTAAAGTGGAAGTGTTTCTACTGGTGAAATATATAGAGATGTTAGATTGTTATACATCTTCCTGTCCCTTAGACAGCCCCATTTTAATATAATGGATACACTTGCGAGTTCTCATTAATTATGAGCTTCATCAATTTTGATTAATTTCTTGGCTGAAAAAAAGTAAATCCATCACAAATCTCTAATCTTTTACACTTAAACATTTAGAATTTGTACAATTGTACTTTTTTGTTAAATAAAATTTGGCATCACAACCATAAATCCCTATCAAAATGGCAATTCTTCTGAAGCATGCTGCTACACTCAAAACATTTCCTTTAAGAGATTTCCTGGTCTTATGTTAGGATAGTTTGTTGAACTTCAGTAAAGTATCAGTAGAGAAAAAGGCATGAAAAGTCAAGGACACCAAGAGAAAGTATTGATTCAGTGACTGTTCACTGAGATTCTGCTCGATGCTGTTGAATATTTCACATTTATGTTTTTTAAACACTTGCAGACTTCACAACCCCCTGCTGAGAATGCTGTAAATGAGATGCCCAGCAGTGCTCCAAGATTCAGATTAGATATGTTAAAGAACAAAGCAAAAAGATCTCTGACAGAATCATTTGAAAGTATTTTATCACGTGTAAGTATCTTCAAGTTTATTGCCTCTGAACACAATTTCATTGTTCTGTTTATTTGGATGATAGAAAAGTCATATTTGTTATCCTTCCACATTGTAGTCAAGTGGTTATTAAAGGCACAGTGACAAAAATATTTGAGTGTACCTGTCAGAAGAGGACAAAACAAAGCAGGGCTTTGGTAGAGAGAATACCAAGTCATGGAAGAAGTGTACTAATCGCTAGATAAGAAATAGTGTATATAGGTATTTCAAAAAATTAGTATGAAATTGAGCATGCGAACTTACGAAAAGCGACCATTGTTTTATTTCTCTTTCAGATTTAGAAAATTTAAAAAGTAATTAGAATTGTTCACTTCTCTTTATGTAGAAGGAAATTACTAGGGAACTGACTAAGCATTCCTAATGAGATAGTATTTATTGGTGACAGAAAACGGATGAATAATGGGGCATCTGAACTTTTAAATGCTAGAGATTATTTGAAGGCGAGGAGTGTAAAGAACTTCAGAAGGCACTAAAGAACATGCAGGCATTTATGCAATATCACATCAGGTAAAATTCTTTGTAAACAGTGTCTGGCAATACCTATTAGTGGGAAAAGCTTGAGCTCCAATGAGATAGAGATCCCCAAGAAAACATGTTGGGAAAATGTTTATCATCAACAGATGGCTGAAAATATCTGCTGGAAGTATACAGCAGCGATTAAGAGAACAAATCAGATGTCAAGGTTAAGCACTACGTAAACCTATGGAGTGTCTTCTCATTCAAATATTATTTGTTTTGCACCTCATGGAAAAAGTCTGAGGAAAATAATAGCAACTTGGAAAGACTTCTGCTTGACAAAGGCTTAAAAAAATCAGACCTTCGCCCTTTTAGAAAAAAAGAGTTGTGACAGAATGCCAAAGAACAAATATTAAGGAACAGAAATTGGGCATTCTCACTTCTCATCAGCAGACAGTTAAATTGAAGCAAAACCTAGTACACTTTATTGTCTTTTGTGACAAAACTAGGCTTTCAGAGCTTATTTCAGACATCGTATCTAACCTGTTCCCATGAAACAAACAATGGCAAAAGCATGTTCTCCCTGTTACAATTCTGCATATAGAGAGGATTTTTAGCTGAATATCTCCTCATTACTTCATTACCTCATTACTTCCCAGCTAGCATTTCTAGAGTTCACCCCCACAAAATCCTGCAGTGGGTGTGTTTGAGATGTGAAACATAACATTAAGTTTTGTTACAGTAACTGTAGTAGTTACTGTTCTAATTTTCACCAGTTTGTCACAGAATGATTAAGGTTGGAAAAGACCTTTAAGATTGTCAAGTACAACCGTCAACCTAACACCACCATGCCCACTAAACAATGTCCTGAAGTGCCACGTCTCCATGTTTTCTGAACACTTCCAGTGATGGTGACTCCACCACCTCCCTGGGCAGCCTTTTCCAATGTTTGTCCACTTTCTTTATAAAGAAATTTTTCCTAATATCCAGTCTAAACCTCCCCTGGCGCAACCTGAGGCCATTTCCTCTCGTCCTATCGCTGGTTACTTGGCAGAAGAGACCAACACCCACATTCTCACAACCCCCTTTCAGGGAGTTGTAGAGAGCGATGAGGTCTCCCCTCAGCCTCCTCTTCTCCAGACTGAACAACCCCAGTTGCCTCAGCTGTTCCCCATAAGACTTGTGCTCCAGACCCCTCACCAGCTTTGTTGCCCTTCTCTGGACATGCTCCAACACCTCAATGTCCTTCTTGTACTGAGGGGCCCAAAACTAGACACAGGATTGTGTGGCCTCACCAGTGCTCAGTACAGGGGCATAATCACTTTCCTGCTCCTGCTGGCCACACTATTTCTGATACAGGCCAGGACGCTGTTGGCCACCTTGGCCACCTGGGCACACTGCTGGCTCATACTCAGCTGGCTGTCAACCAGCACCCCCAGGTCCTTTTCCACTGGGAAACTATGTCCAGACTGGCATATGCTGTCTTCATGTAACACAGCTGTATATTGGTTGCATTTTCACTGTCATGGCTGTTTTGATGGAGATTTTTGATTTTGATCAGATTTGAGGCAAAACATCTTGTCTGAGCATCAAGGTGAGAATAGTCACTATTGTGAATAATGATAACATTTTATATTTTTACTGGGAATAACAGTTCAAAGAGAACATAAGCCTTAGCTTCAGAACATAAAAAAATGATACCATTTAAGGTTAGGAAGATACAATTTCCATAGTTGAGTTAGCACATAAGAATCCATCAGTAGGTTTCTTGATATTTCTCTTGGTTACATGAAAACATTAGTTGTACAAATTATACAAAAATATTGTTGAACAGAACAATTCTGATTTGCAGGCAATGAAATGATAATACCATAAATTATGTTTTGCTCTGTATTAAATGTATATGGTTTTAAGTCCTTTGTAATAGATGGCCTTCCTGTTGCTTTGTATCTTGGTAAGAAGTACGTAGTGTGAAAATTCCCTGTTTGGAATACAGAAGGTACTTTAATGGTAGTTATAGTATGTACGTGCAATATGTGGTTATGTACATATCATGGAAAGCATGTCATTGCCCATGAGAATTCCTTAATTCCACAGCATCCTTTAGAATGTCAGTGACCGTCCTGGACGAAGCCTCTGTTTCTCACAGCGGCAAAGCCTATTCTTAGGCATTTCAGGAAATTAAATTTGAGGCTATCTTTGCAAATTGCAGATTCTGATGACGCTACACAAATCTCTTTGGTATGTCCCATATATTATAATCTTAACTGCTGCTGTGCTTTATCTCTACAGGGCAGCAAAGCCAGAGGTCCCCTGGACAATTCTGGTGCTGTGGATTTGGACAGCTCCATGTCCAGTACCTTGAGCAGCACCAGTAAAGTAAGTAAAGCCTCGGGTGAATGTACATATTTAGAAACTTCATATAAGATTCCTGAAACAACCAGTCAGATGTGAAATGCAGTTACCAACTGCTCATATAACTGTTCTGTTCCAACGTCTTGCATTTTGTTTTGATTATTTTTGGGGAGTAGACAAGCTAACTGTTTGTGAAAAGAAAGAAGCTCCAGAACAGCCAAACAGTATGATAAAAACAGTATCACAGAGTAGGGAGGATAGGTATGTACTTTTCTTCCTACCTGTAAGAGTCCTGCTGCCTCTTGCTGATCCATAGGGTGTGTCTTTATTCCTGTGCTGAGTCCCTCTGAGGGTGATGGGGCTGCATTCTTTGCAGGCAGCCTCTTGGATCAGCCACTGCCTTTCCTTCCTGGCCCCAGCTTGCAGCAATATGTGAGTTTTTTAGAATTTGCAAATAATTTTTCATACATGTAACATGCTAGAATGTGTGCAAGTACTCTGAGGGACGACTTGAACAAAGTAACTTCCCAGTTTACTCTGGTAACAGCGATTCAGGCTAAGAAATAGCAGTCACATGTCATTACAATGGTGATGTGTAGGATGCTGTTACCTGTAGATAACATCGGAGATTTCCATACTTCTTGACAAGATGGGACTCATAGTACATCTGTGTTTCTGTTCTCCAGAAGTTTCAAGTTGCTTTCAGGCCTTTTGTTCTGTTCACCATGCTATAAAAGAGAGCAGTGCAAATGGAGCTCCATTTGAAGTAGAAATGCCTTGTACTGTATATGAACATATATTTTGTATGTAGGTATCTTATCATGTGAGTCTGTATATGTGAAACAAACTATTATATAACAGCATCTGAATCTTGCAACAATATGCAGCAAAACAAATGCAATTACCACACTGCTGATTCTAAGCTGGTTGGTTTCAGCCCTGAAAGAACATACTGTGAATGCAGGATTGCATTCATAAGAAACATAAAACTAAAACAAGAAGTTGAGTAGTGTTCCCGTTTGCGTGGTTAGAAAGCTTTTAGTCTGAATAAAACAATACAAACGAACAGCATAGAAGAAGCCAGTCTTCTTCCCTGGAGGCAGCCTAGCGCTTTGCGGACTTGGCTGCCGCTATTCTGCTCTACTGCCTAGATACCTACGGACTCCTGACTTCAGGTAATCAAGACTCTGCTCTTCCTGCTTATGTTTTTGAAAGAATGGCTGACTCTGCAGGAAACATGTGAGGTGGGGAATGAAGAAAAATGCATGGTTTTGGACTGAAACAGGCATCTAGTCATAGCATTAAAGCTCTTTGTGGGAATCTTTAGATAGACAAGAGTAATATTATGTTGTTTGATCGGGTGCTAAGTATGCAGCACTCTGAAATGCCATCCTTTTCATTGCTGTCACTATTACCCAAACCTGACCCATCTGTTCTGTTCTGTCCCCATGGTTTCTGAGTAGTACTCAACATACTGTAAAATACAATTACTCTCAAAGTTACTTTTTCTCTGTAAAATGGAGACCGATTTGTTGACCTAAATTATTAATAACAAAGACGTAAAACATCAAAGATTCTTTCTTTGAGCTATCATGATAAACATGTGCAATTTTGAAGCAGGTCTCTGTGGGATGTGAATCCCAGAGCCCCAGACAGCCCCAGACATGGGACTGCAACCACAAAGATTGATTTTAAGCCCACGTATCAATAACCTTATTTTTTGTACCACCAGGAGCCACCATTGTGTGAAAAGGAGAAAGACAGACTTCCTACGCTTCCTACAGAAAACACTGTCAGGCCCAGTGGATCAGTGGGTGATCTCCCCAGCGACACAGATGATTCTGCTGTTGAACAGTCTGTTACATTACCTCAGCAAAGCTTTCGGAGGCGAGCAAACACACTGAGTCACTTGCCAACAGAAAGCCAGGAATCTCTGGCACCTGTTGAAACATCTCCATCTGTTCCCCAAAGGAAACTTATGAGGTATCACTCAGTGAGCACAGAGACTCCTCACAAAAGAAAGTAAGACTTATTAAAAGCAGGCTATGATTTCGTTTGTTGAGGGCATATTTGGGGATGATAATTGCATACCAGGTATGTCCTCTTAATGGATAAGAAACGAATCACAGCAGTGTGTCACTCTTTGGAGGTTTGTAGGTATTCTGTTTAAAAACACTTCTAGCCCTGTTTACTCCATAGGGGTGAAAAAACATGAGATGTTCACAGTATATGTCACAAAACTAAGTGTAAACACAACATTGGATTGCTCCTAAGGGTTTGATTACATTTTTGCAAGCAATATTCATTAATTTTTGTTGTTTTGATCTGCAAGCAGCATAAATAAATGCTACTTCTTGTTGTCTACTTTAGTGAAAAATCTATCAGCATTTGTGATGCTGAAAACCTTACTAGTTGATGAATTCTTATGTGACTTTAAAATAACACACAAAACTGACATAAATTGCCTAATTGTTGGTAGAGGTGAAGTTCCTGTCTAGCTTTTCTGTGAGCCTGTGTAGAATTTACTCACAAAAACAAGCTACTGCTTGCCTTCATGCTAATATTCTTCAAGCTATCCTCCTTCAAAAGTCTGCCTCTACATCTCTAAAGTCTCCTTTTAACTTTATGGCAGGTTTTTTTTCCTCCCTCTATCTGGCTTTTCCCAATTACTATGGAAACATTTCTGTCTGTAAGCTTCTGTTTTACTGCCAAAACTGCTCATTTACACAAGTTAGTAGGAAATCTGTATGTGTTCCAGCTCATTTTTCCCTGCAGGAGGCAGGGCAGTAAACGAACATGCCTGAAATAGGTGATGACAGTGGAAAAAAAAAGAAAAATTATAGTATTTGAAAGGAAACAACCTGGGTTGCCTTTTTGTCCCTTCTTTGAACCTTTTTAATTTACAATACTGGAATGTTTTTGTAGTGCAATGTAGGACTTGTGTTGTTGGCCTGTTATCTTCATGAGAGTTACCCTGATGCTTGTAGCTGCTTGTTCCATCAGTTCTTATCTTACTATAGGAATGCAGCTAGAAATCTAAGTATATTCTTAATTTCCTTGGTTATTTCTATTGTGTTTAATCATGTAATTTTAGTAAGACCTGAGTGTGTGCCTGCTCCCTCACATAACTCAAACCAAAAAGAAATCACAGTTCCTCCCTTTTCATAGCAACTGTACAGAACCAGGGGAAATTGAAAACTTAGAAGAAAAGTACACTTAAAGTTCTCAAAAATCACTGGAATGATAGTCTTTTAACAAGTCTTGTACGTTTTATGAGTGTTTTTGAACAGCTTACCTCAATTCATAAATGTTTCAAAAGTGTATAAATAAATTCAATTCTTCATGTAGCATTTCAGTTCTCATCCATTAGAACTCTCGATCATATGCCTGACTTTATCATAGAAACCAAAGGGAAGCACATATGAGGGGGAAGAAGAGGGGGTGTGTGTTTGGGACTTTGCTGATTGGGTTAAAATGTTGAGCCGCTTACTCATTAACTGTGAAAAACATAGGAAATGGCTCATTTGTATATGCCAGGTCCCTTTCAAAGATTAGAGAAGGGATTTCACTTCCCTCCCCCCACCACTTTCCTCTCTTACTGTGTTTTGTTTTTTGTGCTATCTCAACTCCATCGCTCTGGTTGGAATCCCACTATACGGTTTGAATGCATCTGTCGGCGAATCTAAAAGTTCTTCTGGTCAACTTGCACGTTCTCCTACTGTAGCTCGTCTTAATCCCTCGGCCTCTTCGCCCAACTTTTTTAAATACCTAAGGCATAATTCAAGTGGAGAACAAAGTGGGCATTTTGCACAAAAGAGGTGAGCTAGCACCTGTACATAGTTTGGGGTAGGGTTTGTTTTACCATGTCATAAATATGAAGCTCTATAGTGTAAATAATTAAAATAATTTAATATAGACTGAAGGTGGTAGATTTTTCTGGGACGGGGAACTTTTTAACTGCTCCACTACTGGATGTAGAGCTGCTACTTACATAACTTTTTGTTTCAATAAATAAAATTCTTTCAGACACATGGACATATGACTTTCTTTAGAGCCAGTTGCTCCAAAGCAACTTGTTGTTATGCAGCAGACAGCAGCACTGCTTAAATTGTGTGAGGGATAAGTTGCCAAGAACCTGTGATCCAGCCCACTCTGTCCCTCCTGAATCATTCAGTTCTGTTCTGCTTTGTTCATGATAACACAGAAACATATTAATACTCTTTTGTGCCTGATATTAAAGGCAAATTGACTAAGTTAATTAAATGGGGCAAGAAATAGGAGGACTGTGGAAAGCAGACATAAAAACCCCCACAATCAACCAAAAACGACAAACAAAAAAACCCCACACCCCTGACTCCCCCTAAAGCCCAAGAACAAACAAACAAACCCCCCAACCCACCAGCTCATTTATTTGTCTTGCTTACTTTGAGCAATATCAAATGATACTTTTCTGTGCCTCCTTTCTTAGAGCAAAAATATGTATAGAGAACATTGAGAAAAGGACATTAACCCATCATTTCCCTGAGAACCTGAAACAAGTAGCTCCCTAAAAATCTTAATTGTGAAACTCCTTCTTAACCTCTTGAGCTAAAACTGATTATTTTAACTCAAAAGACTAATGAGACCAAATGTTCTTGGAAGTGCTGTCAACAGCGCTGGCCATTGGCAAGCAATTTTTGTTGCTGTTTATTGTTTGGTTTTGTTCACTTGGGTGAAGGTTCCCTGTTTCTCCAAGATGCTGATCCTGAGAAAATACTGAGAACCTTGTTTCATCAGTTTCTTCAGTTGTATTTTCTGAGTACTAACTAGCATCTCTCTTAATTTAGCTTCACCTCAGAAGTATGGTATAGCTCAGGGAAGGGAATGTGAGTCTAAAATGTCCTCTTTACTCTTCATTTTAGTAAGATTTTCTTGAATCCTGAAGGTTAAATTCTCAAAAGTAGATTTTTCCAAGTAGATTTGGTAATGATTCTGCATGCACAGTAGCAACAACTTCTTCCTTTTCCCTGTCATGTAAGGGTAAATATACCATATGGAACCTCTAAGCAGCAAGACTGAAAACAGAAATTGGCAGGGATATCAAATGGGTTAATGAGTTTAAATCAGTAACATCAAACTGCCCAAGTTGATTGTAGTCTGTAAGTGAAACTGCCATGTAATGGTGATGGATTTACAATGCGATTGTAAGTGAAACCTGTTTGCAGGGCACACTGTGCAACAGCCTTATCTTCTTCATGCTCAGTACCATTTACTAAAGAACAGCTTCACTTCATACTGGTGATTATCCCAGAGTATCCCCCCGTCCCATTCACATGTTCAGGAGGCAGTGCTAAATGCCGTCCAGATATATCATTATGTTTTATTAGAAACAGCTCTTTCTTAAACTTAGTTTTTCAGGAGTAAATGTTCCTACTCATGCATTTTTGTGTACTCTTCTGAGAAAAGGTCTTCTGGTATCATCAGCCAAGTAATTTTCTATGTTTTCATTCCATGCAGAAACTTTTCATTATGTGAATTGTTCTCACTTCCTTCTATTAACCTTCTTCTGAGTATGTTGGGGGTTGTTATTTTAAAAGAGCAAGCAGAATTATGTTAGCCAGAAGACTGGTGATGAAATTTGATGAGTGCTCCTGTCTGTTGCATAAAGAGCCACAATCCTAAATTATCAGTCAGAAGGCTCAGCTTTTAACTTAAAAGTTCCAAGCTTGTCTGAATAAAACCCTGTTAATGCTTTACAAAATGGTTTTTGCCGAAGTTCAATTTTTCATTTGCCAGCACAACGATGATTAGTGTTAGCTTTTCCTAACCTTTTCCCCCAAACTTAGTCAGTCATTGAAACTGATATTTAAGTAAATGTGCAATGATAAAGTCAGCGCCAGTTCTTATTAGATTAAAGGAATTTACTTGAAATATGCACTAAAAATCTTGGGATATAGCAAAGAATAATAACTTTACTGGAAGTACATTTATTTCTATTGGAACATTTTAGTTTGCCCAAACAAATATGTATTTCAAAGTAGCACTTTTTTAGCAATTTCAATTTTGACTTTGGTTTCCTTGATATTCAGGCCTTCAGGATTTAGCTGCTTTTTGTTTGAAACTTAGCAGTATGTATTATTTTTATTCTGTGGTTTTTTATACTTCTTTGTTCTAAACTATACTTTTCCCAACTGCACTCTCAGCATCTCCTACCGTACTGCCTTAAGGAAAAAGCTTCATTCTTCCTCTTCTGTGCCAAATTTCTTAAAATTTCTGGCTCCTGTAGATGAAAATAACACCTCTGACTTTAGGAGCACAACAAGGTAGGGTTCTCTCTTAAAGCCTGGGGGTAAAACTGTATTTTCAAAGGTTTCTTTGTCTGAAATATTTCAAATACTTCTCACACTTGCAAAACCTGATTTGTGCAACAGTTCACTTGCATGTATTCTGCATGTGATTGCTGTCAAAAGGGTGGAGCTAGCCCAGACTCCTCTCCCATTAAGATTGCAGAACTTAGCCATTTTGACGTTGTAATGGTCGTGCAACTTCCATCTGTGTACTTCTGTGATTATTCCTGCCAAAGGACTGCATTAGCAGTTTTCAGTTAAGAGAATATACATGGTTCATCCTAAGCAATGTCAGTGTCCTCAGATTGGAAGGAGAGGATGGCCTGTAAAATGCTCCTCCCAGTTGTTGCCAGAGCTATTTGGAGTTCTTTTATCCTTTCAGCTTCAACAAAGACTCATGCAACCATTTAGCCAACAGCTGGAATAAAGCAATGAATAGTTTAAAGATGTAACGGGTGAAAGTTGTTAGCGGGACATTTAATAGGAAAACAGCATTGCTGTTCACTGTTCCGTTTAATATTCTGAATAAACACCTCTATATGTAGTTTGTGGATTACATCAAAGGAGTAATATCCAAGGTTCCTGGACACTGTTTGCAAGTTTGGTTTTTTTTTCAGGTGGTGACTTGCGAACACAAAGGTTAAAAGTTTTGCTTCAAGTCTGTGTTGTGAAGATGTACTGGGTAATATAAATATATTACATACCCAGTTCACAGAAAGTTGGAAGTTTAGTTGGTGTTTATAAAGCTCCTTGATGTCTGCTGATAAAAGACAACAGCAGTTCTTTGTGTCTCGTATGAATAATTGCTAGATTTTGTGGATGGCATTTAAATAGTAGAATGGTAAAGATACACCATGGTGTATATGTCTTTAATGTGTCGTGTTTAATACACTGTAGCGAAGAAAGCTGAAAGTTAATTAAAACAGCAGAAAGCAGATTGCATAGAGCTGCCAGCCCCTTTTGGTGAACCTAAGTGATGTTTGCAGCCTTGTAAAGCCGCTGCCACAAAGCAAGCTTCACCTACCTAACACGAAGAGCTTGACCCAGCATGTGCACAGCGCACTGCACTCCTTAGTTGATGGTTTGTGTTACTGTATTCAGTGAAGACTGTGTCACTGTTACTAGCAGATTTGGGTAACCTACTCACAAGCCATTCTGTGTTCTGCAATTTTAGCGACTACGAATCAAAACACAGCCAGCAAGCCATTGGCGTGGACAGCCCTGTAAGGACTCGACGGCATTCATGGAGGCAACAGATATTCCTGCGAGTGGCAACCCCACAGAAAGCGTGTGATTCTCCCAGCCGATATGATGGTAAAGTCTGTATTTATTTTCTCCAATGGATGTTGTTAGTGGATGTAGTCTGTGACATGTGGATCATTTTGTCTACTGAGTGGACATACTTGCCTGGTGCTCGGTTTTTACTCTTTGCAGTTTTCTACCTACTTTTTGGTCATGCCAAGCTCATCAGCTGTTGAGTTTTTATTTTTCAGCTTCGTATGTAGCATAGTTCCGATTATGTCAAATTAACTAACCAGAGATGAAATTATTTTTATGTGTACCATTTTAATGAGTTCTGGGAAAAAAATGTATCGCTAAGTATTGCTCTGAAGAAAAGATGAAGCTTCTATGTCATCTTTCCATGCTGGAGTATAGAACTATGGACTAGAAAAACTCAGGCCTCGCAGAAAGAATTAAATTAAAGTTCTCTAGTGTGTACTTCTTACTAGACTGAATTTGACCTCAGGTATGCTGCTCCAGTCTGTGATTCTTTGCCACTTGAGGCATAGTTACCCACTGTTCTCATATTTATTTCCTGAAATTCTGGAGAGCTAAAGAACCACAGACTTGAGAAAAAAAATCACTGCACATGACATTGCAGGTGCATCGTTTTACACATCTCACTTTATGTGACCCAGATAGTAGAGCACATGCTGAGGCCAAGAATGTCTCAGAGAAGCTTGTGTCTGTAGAAAATGGTCTCTGGCTCACTGAAGTTTGACTCTCACAGCTTGAACTCTGCAAGCTCTACCTTCTGATTGATCTCTAAGGCCATTGTATAAGAAAAAAGAAAAATTATAAGGGAACAGTACTTTATAGTAAAGGTAGTAAAAAGTAACCATCTTAATGTCATGGAGACGTTTTTCTTGCATCTTAAAGAGAGACCTTGATTAACTGGACACCGCACGTAACAGAAGGGTTTCTGTCACTAATGCATTGCTTGCAACATGATTTGACTGACAATGGGGTAAGCTGTATACGGGCATAGATGCCTCTCAAATTTAGTGTACTTCAAGGTGAAGTGATGTCAAGAGCATGTTGTGTAAACATACATGTGAAATGCTTTCCTGTACTTCAAGGCAAATGAAGGAGCTGTTCAACCTCAGCTGTTCTGTGAAGCTACATTTTTTGCAGGTTTGATGCATCTTCTTGTGGCTGGAAAGTCTTACTTGTTTTTGAAAGCCACAAAACTTTCCCATATTAAATAGGAAAAAAAACCCCAAAACTAAAGTGCCTATCCAAGCATTTCCTCTGAGACATAATAGCTGCAAGATATAATCTTAACAACCTACAGCTGGATAAGCAGAATAGTTGGAGAAACAAGTGTGGCCAAAATGGAAAACAGGAAGTGCTATTAATAGGAGAAGCAATTTAAAATATCTGGCCTTTTTCTTCCCTCTTGTTTTCTTTTTCTGTTTTTGTTCCAATGTATATATTCAATTTATGAACAGAGGGAGAAAACTCAGAGTTTGTGGGGGGAGTTATTTATTACAAGTACTGTTTTTTTCCACAGTTGTGTGCATCTCCTGGAATATTTCTGTCAGTAAAGGATACTCACTCATGATCCAGTCTCTGTAGCCTTTAAGAGAGCTGCTGTACAGATGATCTTACATTTGACTCACCACCACAGTTAACTTAGTAACCTCTGTAGTTCCAAAGTAAATATAACTAGCTATTGTTCATCATCTTGTTCCTCGTTCTTTCATCTACTTCCAAGGAGAAGCAGCACATGCAGTGGGGTTTGTTGATTTGATGTTACTCATACTTTTTTTTTTTTTAAAGGCTTTCTTGCTCTTTTTAGACTGATTTCCTTTGGAAACAGAATTTATGCAAAGAGCTTATGCATCATCAAAAGATCAATTTCAGCCAAATTGGACAGAGAGCAAAGAAGGTTTTAAAGATAATGTGTTTTGTCGTGTTCTGCAAAAGTAAGCATGAAGAGAGGGAAACAAGGGAACATTCATGAGTTTCCCTTTATAGACTGTGACTCCACTGACCAATTTCTCTATTCAAATTCAATAGCCCACGCACCATTCCAGGGTACTCTGCAGGAGAACAGTAAGAAAAAAGGCTATGGATTTTTTTGAAAGTTAGTAAGTCAGCCAACCAAGAAACCCACATCTTTGTGAGTCAGAGATGATAAAGTTTTTCAAGCTTAGTATAGGCTGCTTTACTAAACTTTGTATTAAACATAAAATCCACCAGTATGCCTGAACTACATGTTGATGTGACTACATGTGGGCAGGCACTGTCCACTGTCAACAGAAACTGCTCTGTGGCTCTAGCTTCTTTGGGTTGTAATCAGTAAATATGCATGTGTAAGATGTCACAAGAAATAGTGACAACTTTAAGCTTTATACACACAGAAAGATCTAGATCCTGGCATTTGTGATTCCTTTTGTATAGGCACGTGACGAGCTGAATCTCAAGATTAATCATGTTCATGCCACTCTCTGTGTGGTTATCACAGCAGGATATTTACTAGAAGTTTAGGAAAAAAAACCCAAGCCAGACAACTAGTATATAGTTTTTGCAGAAATTTTGAGCTTAATCTTATGAGGTGCTGAACTTGAGAGATGTCTGGGGTCCTGGATTTGCCCATGAAGCTGACAGCACTTTGAGATCCAATGTCTTGCACTTCTGGATCCTTTACTACTTTAGGAGGTGCTCATAAGTAGTTTGAGCTAAAACTTAATTTCCTGTAGCTTAATTGGAGAGAAAGGATTGCTGGCTGTGCTCTGGTGGTTGCATCATGTATTACCAGGCAGAGAGTACAGTTTGTTTCGCAGACACCGTTTTTTAAAAGGAGGGGTTTATGATATGTGAAGGAGGGTGTTAATTTCTTACTAGTTCAGGAGTAAAATGAAAAACAGTCCTAAATCAGTAGAGTTTAAAAAAAGTATTGCAAATAGATGCACTAGAAAGCCATTTATTCTTGCCAATTGAGATTCCTGCCTTGCCTGACCACTGGACTCAATCCAGCCACACTCAGGCAAGGTGAGCGCGCTGAGACAGCAGAAGGCTGGGGTACAGGAAACCATTACTTCTGGTTGTTATGGGAGCAATGTCCCATGTGCAGGCCCTCCTCCAGCCACCTCCCGCTTGTGGGTGCTGCCACTTTCCCCTTTCCCCGCTGTTTTCCCTTGCTTCTGTACACAGCTTTACAATGAAGCACATTGGAGAAGCATTATGCAATTTGCTGCCTGGTGGAACAGCCGGGTGATCTCTGGTGAGCCTGAAGATGAGGCTGGTCTCCAGTTTGGAGATCTAGAATGGGTTTTCTGCATAGATGAAATGATCTGTAGAGATTTTTATTGCTTTCCATCTGGTAGCTGGAAGTTTGCAGGCTTGAATTGCGCCAGTTCTATTGTAGCAAGCTACGGTTCTAATGTCCAACCTCATCTCCTGCTGTTTGCCACTTCCCATGGAGTGGTTGTGCTGCTGTGGGTGGTGTGGAGCACTGGGAGGCAGCGTTTCTCTCACCATGTGTCTTGTCCTCTTGTGTCTCACAAGACGCACTCAGTGTCTTGTTCTCCAATATTTTTCTTTTTCTTTTTTTTTTTTTTTTTGAATTTGTGGGAGTGGAATGAGTGTTGTATCCTGCAAAACACAGGGATGGAAAAAGAGGAACAGAGTTCACTTACAAAATGGATCACACTTTGATCTGTTACAATACTATATTTCTTTTGAAAGAAGGTTTTCATTAATCTCTTTTTCTAAAGCTTTTTTGGCCCGTTTTCTATATATGAGTACACAAAACCCACTCTGGCTCTCCCACTCACTGTCTTAAACATTCTAAGTAATAGAAGTATTTCTTCAGTTCTTCGATTTTTACCTTTGTACCTGCCCACCCTACTTGCAGCCAGATCTTCATACTTCTGCAGAGTCTCTCTAACAAGAGCCTCATTCTGTGGCTCTGCTCTAGTTCTCTGTCTTCGCTGCTAAAAAGGTGAAGAGAACAACTTGGTGATCATTTTAAACCCGCTGAAGGATGGGCTTACTCAAAAAAGGTGATTGGTTTTCAGTTGGTTCAATTTCCTAGCCCCACTCACAATATTACAAGCACGAGGCAGGCAGGGACACGTCTCGGGAAGCTGAGGGTGGGTGCTCTTACCCTGCTCAGGAGCAGGACACACTTAGGTCAGTGCAGGGTGAACATGGAACTTCACCTTGCACTGCAGTGCAGCAGGATATTTGCAGACTTCTGTTCAGCATCTGCAAATCTCTGCAGTGGACTATTTTCACTACAATTTTTACATATTGGATGTTCAGAATTGGTCATAGTGGGAGAACTATTTTGCAGATTGTCTGCAACTCCCAGCAGACTAAAGTCAAGTGCTAGATTTAAAGGGAGTATGAATAGTTTCTGAAAGAAATGGTGGGAAAGTGATGGTGCTTGTTGTGAGCTTTCTTGCTGCGGGAGGTGTGTTGGCAGTAGACAGCAAGATTTTTATAACGGCTGTGTCAGTTTTAGGTTGGAGAATGGGTGATTTGCTTTAAGGTGGGAAGTGAGGTGGAGTTACATGTTGAACAGTGAAAGAAGTTGCAATTCAGAGGAATGAGATGCTTGGTATTGTGTAGCAGTACTCAGAAAATAGGTTCAGATGAAAAAAGGAACTTTGGCCAGAACAGCTACATAGTATTTTACAATTTGACTTGCAGAAAAAAATTCTTTCTGAACGTACAGCTGTCTCTGTACAGGAAAAAAAACTTGATTTGCTCATTAAAATTAATTGGATTTCAGTCTCTGGCAGACAAAGATAGAAAACTGTTAAACTCTAAATGCTGAAGAAAAGTTTGGATTTGAAGAACTGTTGCTGTTATTAACCAGTTATAGTTAGCACCTACCTATCTGTGTATGTGCTTTCTAGTGAGAATTATATCTCTTCCGTTATTTAAGCAAATATATTTTCAAAATAATTTTGTAGTAGTATTGCAAATACTGTAAGCTGGGGCTTTAGCATTCTATACTTAGAATGTTTATGTGGGGTAAATTATTTGTAATGTGTCCTCCAATACTGTTTTAATGGTTC